CTGGAGGGGACAGGGTGTCAGTAAGGGTGTCTCTGTGTGTCTCAGGGTCTGGAGGGGACAGGGTGTCAGTAAGGGTGTCTCTGTGTGTCTCAGGGTCTGGAGGTGCCCCTGGTTGCTGTTCTGCAGTGGTCCACTCCCAAGCTGCCTTTTACCAACAGCATCTACACCCATTACAGGTCAGACTAGATTAATTCCTTTTTCTCTCTCTCAAGTTCAGCACAACTGTAATGTCCAGTGTGTCTTTTTTAACTCTCTTCTCTTCTGTCTTTTTGTGTTACCCTTTTAGTGTTGAAGTGCCCAGTCATTGTATCTGTATTAACCCCTCTCTCTCAGTGCAGTCTTAATATACTGTAGTGTCCAGTCAGTGTGTCTGTATTAACCCCTCTCTCTCAGTGAAGTGTTAATGGACTGTAGTGTCCAGTCAGTGTGTCTGTATTAACCCCTTTCTCTCTCAGTGCAGTGTCAGTGGACTGTAGCGTCCAGTATATATTAATTAACCCTTCTCTCTCAGTGAGAGCACTGTTAATGGAACCCCTCTCTCTCTCAGGTTGCCCAGTATTCGTCTGGACCGGCCACGGTTCGTGATGACAGCGAGTTGCGAGTCTCCAGTCAGGGTCAGGGAGCGTTTCCGGGTCAGATACACCCTGCTGAACAACCTGCAGGACTTCCTAGCGGTCAGGCTGGTGTGGACACCTGAAGGAGCACACAGCGGTGAGGGACAGACTCCAGATCCTCCAGATGTTATACTGCTGGCTGAAGAAAGAACATTCAGTGAAATCAACATTATAATGGTAGATAATGGTAGAGCAGTGTTCTGATAGAGTTAGCCATTGAAGCCTGATGCCTAGATTGAAGCCCTGGTCCAGACTGGAGCATTTGTCCAGGTTGTGTCTTGGTCCAGAAGTGGATCCTTTGTCCAGGTTGTGCACTGATCCAGACTGGAGCTTTTGTGAGTGGTGATCTAGATTTAGCCCTGGTCCAGGTTGAACTGTTATCCAGATTGTAGCCCTGATCCAGCTTGTAGCCCTAGTCTGGACTGGAGGCCTGGTATAGACCTGAACCCTGAAAGGTGACCTGGTCAAGTGTCATTTTTGAATGACGTTCCACAGGAACAGAACCCACGTGGTTGAGGTAGAGAAAGAGTTTGTCCTGAAAATCCAGCTCTTATTCCATACTCCCATCCCCCCTTTGTGTAATGAACTGGTTCCATTTCCCAGTTTTAAAAGCACTTCGTCTCGTTTCCACTTGTCTCCGGCAGAGACTGGGCTGAGAGGGAGGGAACGAGGCGGATGGAGGAGAGGGGAAGGAGAGGTCAAGCTGCAGGTGTAAGGACTGCATTGGGTGCTGATGTGGTTTTAAGCTCTGTGTTCTGTTTCTGCCCCCAGGGCGAGGCCAGTGTGCGGAGGAGTGCCAGTCAGTCAGCTCGGTGGTGTGCCACACTCCCCTCAGCAACCTGGGGTACTGTCGCAAGGGCAGCACCCTGTCCTTCACCGTGGCCTTCCAGATACTGCGCGCCGGACTATTTGAGGTACCGGCCGCCTGCCTTGGACTTGCGCAACACAAAATGGGCTTTACAGGTCCGACCTTCGTGGGCCCGGCTGTTAAACAGCTAAGATGGCGATTCCCCCAGGAAGTCAGCGCAGAACTGGCTGAAAATTTCCGGGGGCTGGGTGGGTGAGTTTACGGCACTCGGGGTTGTGATAGGTTTGCGGTGCAACACTGCCCCCTTGTGGCTGGCCGGACACCCATGCGCTCACAGTGCCTTTGCCTGGAACTGCGTCTGTCCTGATCACAGGGATCAGGCCTAGCGGGAGACACAGACATCGGCATCCACTACTGCGGCGAGGACTGACTGCAGCAGCTGCTGAGCTGGATACGAGCTGTCAGTACAGCAGGGTCTCGACGTTCGCGAGGGTTGGGAGCAGAGAGCAGCCAGATTCACTTCTAACCAAGTCCAGCCCTGTGTTGTCACGTAATGTCCTACAGCATATAGGTCCCGGTTGAGCACTGGTGCAGACTGTAGCCCTGGCCCAGACTGGAGCCTGTGTCCTGGTTAAACCAGGATGGCTAAAAGACATAAGAAAACTTCCATTATAAGATTATTAAAGTACTAATGCATTGGCCTGAAGTTAATTTAAATCACATCGATCAACTAAAAGAAACAACAAAAATCAGAAACCCATAGTAATCAGCTAAAATAAACATGAATCCCTTCTCTGTATACCACTTACACTTTCTTATGTGTCCATGAACACCGTACCCCACTGTAATGAAATGCCACAATAAAACTGGCAGTGAGCCTGTAAGCTCTTCTCCAGCCTGTGATTCCCCCCGCTGCTGACAGAACCCGGAGCGTCTGTTACACTGGGAACACAAGAGCTCGCTGTGATTTGGACGTTGAGTCGGGGGGGGGACTTGGGCAGACAGCAGAGAGAGGCTCACTGGATTCATCTCATGATCGCCGTCGCTAATTTTAAAGTTGCGTTCAACAGCTTCTTCCATCGAAGACCCTGTCGGCCAGACCGAATCGTGAATAAGCGACTGTGCCAGTGTTAAATTCAAGAGACCCTACTGTACTAAGCTGTGCGAGAGGAGTGTTTTTCCACACATACGTTTCCTCCAGATTTTTTTAGAAAACTAACAAAATGGGATCTGTTAGCACTGGGAGGGAATGGAGTCGCAGGTCCCAATTAAAGTGTGGTAGGGTGTCCGTCAGACCTTTAATCCTCAGTAAAGTGGGCTCTCCTGTCAGACTGAGTACAGGGAGCGGATCATCCCATTTTTTCCTGATTTCCGCACCATGTGGTCCAGATTTCCTCGCCCTCCCACAGGGAGTTTCTCTGTGTCCCGGCCCGTCATCTGAACTGCTCCTCTCTCCCCCCTCCCTCCTCCCTCCAGCTCAGTCAGCACATGAAGCTGAAGCTGCAGTTCACCGCCTCTGTGTCGAACCCGCCGCCCGACGCTCGGCCCCTGTCCCGCAAGAACAGCCCCTCCAGCCCGGCCGTGAGGGACATCCTGGATCGGCACCAGGCCAGTCTGGGCAGGTCGCAGTCCTTCTCCCATCAGCAGCCCTCGCGGTCACACCTCATGAGGTACGGGGGGTACGGGGGTACAGGGCACTCCCTGCACTCACCATCTAGAGTCCTGTTGGTGCCCACCACTGCTCTGAGCCTGTTCGCACGCTGTCCTGGCGTGTAAGGCGGCGCACAGGACAGGTTGGAAACGAGAGGAGGCCATTGGAGGTGGCAGGGCAGCTTGTTCCACACTCCACAGCTTGTTCCACACTCCTACATCCCTTTGTGTAAAGATGTGCCTCCTTGGAGGAACTCCCCCAGCTGTTTAGTGAAAGAAGCCAAGGCATCAGTTTCAAAATATAACTGGTTATACTGTTCCAAACTCCCGCCACCTGTATAACCAAGCCCCCTGTCCTGATTGGAGGATCTGGTCCAGCTGTGTCTTGAAAGAAGCCAGGGTATTTGCTTGGCCAGAACAGCTGGGTATCTCGTTCCATGCCCCCCACAACCCTTTGTGGAAACGGGTGTTTTGAACACACGCACCTCAGCAGTTTCCCTGCCCTCTGGTTTGTGTTTCACTGCTGATTCTGCAGAAATCCCCTGGATTGAATTTGTCAGTGCCTTTGGGGATTTTGAGTACTTAGACTCAGTTCTCCTCATACTCCTTATTCAAGACGTTCTTTTAGCCTGTTGTTAGGCCATTCACATACATTTACACCATGTATGAATATACAGTATTTACATCCTAGTACACCAGTTTCAAAAGGCTGGGATGCTGTCAGACAGTGACCCCTGGTGTTTGGTTGTGGAATTGCAGGACTGGCAGTGTTATGGAGCGTCGTGCCATCACCCCTCCCGTCGGCTCTCCCATTGGCCGCCCGCTGTACCACCCCCAGGACAAAGCCGTCCTCTCATTGGACAAGATTGCCAAGAGGGAGTGTAAAGTATTGGTCCTCGAGTCTGTCAGTTAAACCGCACCGGTTCCTGAATTACTCCATGAAACAGCTCCGCCGCTCGCGCGCATTCCCGCTCCCGCGCTGCGCAGCAGGTACGCATGCGGACAGGGATAAGCTCAAAATGCCACAAGGTTTGTATTCTTCTTCTTCTCCTTAAATTCGTCGCAGACTTGGAAAACTGAAATATGTTGCAGTTTTTACTACTTTATTTTATATTACTGTATTTTATGCTGGTTCATTGTGGGGGAGGGTTAACGGTATGTGTGTTGTTTTGGCGATTAAAATGTTATATTTTTGTGTTCGTCCCTCCTCTAGCCAGTCAGCGGTTGTATTGTTTGGTGTAAATGTAATGGTGAGCGATAGTTAACCGCAAAGACACAGTGACCACGCACACGCCGCAAAAATGGCGACCACAGATGAAAGGACAGAGGTCATAACCTTATCAACTCTCCCGATAGCCGATAACACCGCAGCTCTTTAGGACAGTACAAATGTATCGTATTAAATGACGAAGCTCGTAAAATACTTGAAACTACTGAAAAAGGTGAAATGAGTTGTATAAACGAAATATTTTATGGTTAATACTTTTTGTTGTCAATGTCGTTCAGAAATTCACTGGAGTTACTGTAAATAGACCTGGTGTGTAAACACTTATCTGAAACATGTTTTTTTTATATGCGTTTTTCTCGAAAACAATAATTGTTATGATTACAGTTTTATTTGTCATCACTGTAAATTCCAATGCTGTATTATGAGTCCTGTCACCGTCGTCTGGGTGAGTGGTGTGAGGGTGTGTGTGTGAATTTGGGTACAGCGAGACCCTGTTTCACCTCTCAGCCAGCTCTTTTCTGCTGGGTTCCCATCTTCCATTATAACCACTCCTGGGGGCTGTGTGTTTACAAGATGGCTTCTGTTCTGGGGGCCACTGTTTTTGAGTTTCTCTGTCTGCTCGTTCACTTCTCACAATCCCATCTGTCTGTCTCGCGCCCGAGCTGCTATCTCTCCACCTGTGAGTACAGTCAGTTACCCCCTCAACCCAACCCTCAGGCCTTTTGATTGCCCATGAAATATGATTTTGAAAGTCAGTTTGTGGTTGAGAAGTAGGCACACAATTATTCACACACTCCTTTTGCTTTTGTTTATCTGATGCTTTGGCCACTGAAATCAGGCCTCTGTCTCTACTGGCACATCATGGATCGTCTCCCTAAAAGAAACGGTTGGTGCCGCCACTGTACTGCTGGTTTAGTATCTTTAGGAATCATTTTTTCATGATAGGTGGATTCTTGGATCGGTCAACATCCAACAGTATTTTCGTCCTTTATGCTGCTCTCGTGGAAGGTGGTTTTGTCTGTTTTAGTAACTGACTCGATAACCTGCAAGCATGGACATGTTCTAGTAAATTTGCACAATCCCCACACAACATTGTTTCTTTACAAGTAGGAAGAGGCGTGTCAGTTTAAACTTGAGATTTAAGCATCTCTCTCTGTCTTGTATGTGCCATTATACCTGGGGCAAAAATGGTGTGATATTAGGGATTTTTCACAGCTTTTGCTGTGTCAGTGGGTTGTTGGATTATGAATGGCTGCATTGATATTCTGGGTAATTGATGTTCAGGGCCCATTCAAGTCGGCACCTGAACACAGGATGTTGAGGAACCTCCTTGCAGTAGATGGTTCGGTCTAAAAGCTCTTTGGGCTGTCTCCCAAAGGAGGAAAACGAGAGGTACATAGGAAGGTGGGGACCATGCTGTCGGGGTTAATGCAGATAGACAGCCGCACACTCAAGCTCATAGACACCTTGAGACTGGCTCTGCTGGAGACCCTCCAGTCCCAAGCAGCTGCGCTCCGTCTGAGGAGAAAATGGACCAATTCTCCAACTGAACCTGTGCAGTGACTATTCAGAGCTCTGTTGAATTGAAAACCAGATAAGTCTCATGCTGCACACATCTCTCAGTCTGTGAAAGAAGATAATCACATGGACAGTAGGAACCCCTGGCTAGATGTTTCTAATGATAGAAGAGAGGTTCTGACTTGAGAGAGAGCCCAGCCATCTGTCTCCACATAGAAGCTCAGTTGAGTGGTATGAAACAGAGTGGAGATGGGCATGGTGGTGCAGTTGTTGGCATCGCAGCCTCACAGATGCTGGGGCCTTGGGTTGAATTCCCGGGGTGCTGTCAGCGTGGAATTTGTGTGTTCTCCCTGCGTTCGGTGTTTGTGTGGGCTTCCTCTGGGTTCTTCAGTTTCCTCCCACAGTCCAAAGACATAGTGTTTGGAGTATTGGGTTTTGGGAGAATTGACCCTGGTGTGTGTGGATTTGTGTGTGCCCTGCAACTGGACTGGCGTCCTATCCTGCCTTGTACCCATTGCTTGCTGAGATACTTCCCCGTGATCCTGAATTGGATTAGTTAGAAAATGGATGGATGGTTTGAAATAGAGTGGAGGAGCCCTCTGTGCTGGTTCACTTTCTGAAAAGGGAGCGTGACTTGAGCATGTAGGGTTGTGCTGTTTGCAGCACTAAGAGGATCAACTTGCTTACGTCAGGGACTGGGTCAGTAGCCCACTGGACATCCCACAGGAATCAAAAGAATCAAGAAGGTACTTGCAGACAATGTGTTTAAAACAGGGTTAGAAATGTGTTGTGACTGGGAGGGATGCAGACTCCCCCACATTGACCCTCATTCGGAGCCCCACCTTTAACAATCTCATTAACCAAGACTGTGACTGTGCCACATTTCCACAGGAAATGACAGAAGGCCCTTCTTTTTTAAAAAAAACTTTTTTTTAATGTTGTGCATTTTTTGTTTTTTAACAAAACCATGTTTGTCTGTGTTCAAGCACTTTATTTAAATGTAACTTATTGAAAACTGTTTTTGTTTTGCTGATTTTGTTTAAAAGAATGTTAAAACTGGAACAATCTCTCAGGCACCAAGCTTGCACAGTTGTAAAGCTGTCGCTGACTGCTTTGCCCCTTGTCCAGATGAATAAAGCTGATTGGGTAACAGGTGGAAGCCTGCAGATTTGTCACTCTTTGTCTCTCTGTGTTACTGGCTAATGAAGTTTGGTAATGAAGTATGTAATGTACCTTTGGTAAAAGAAAGGGCAAATGGGAAATTTGGCCAGGATGCCAGGGTTACACCCCTACTCTTTTCGAGAAACGCCCTAGGATTTTTAATGACCACAGAGAGTCAGGACCTCGGTTTTACGTCTTATCCGAAGGACGGCGCCTGTTTACAGTATAGTGCCCCCATCACTATACTGGGGCATTAGGACCCACATGGACCGCAGGGTGAGTGTCCCCTGCTGGCCCCACTAACACCTCTTCCAGCAGCAACCTTAAGTTCCCAGGAGGTCTCCCATCCAGGTACTGACCAGGCTCACACCTGATTAGCTTCTGTGGGTTGCCAGTTGTGAGTTACAGGGTGATATGACTGCTGGCGACCCGGTTGAGGATGATGTAATTCATTTTGTAGTTACACTGTTGCTCCAAAACTGAGCCTGCATCACAAGCAACAGGATTCTTAAATCAAACAGACCTTCTGGTAACATGAAGGTTTTTATCCCCTTCAACTCCACATTTGTCATGATAGATAGACCAGCAACAATGGAAAAAAGTGTTCATATTTTCACTGTAAGTCTTTAATATGGAGATATTAATTTTTTGAATATTAAGGTTTAAATAAGTTAATAATAAAAATATCCAGGAATGTTACAGCTCTCAACTCCACCAGTCCTCGGCAGGTCAAAGGTCATGGGACAAGACCATTTTCAAAGGCAGGTCTTCAGTTCTTGGAAACAGCAGCTGCAGTAAAAACAGCTGATGTTTCTGCTTTTCTTCTTCATTTATCTTGCAGTTTTTCTTTAAGAAGGAAGTCTTAATCGGTTTTTGTGGCTTTGTCTTGTGGGGTTTTCCTCAGATCTAAAAGGCCAGAAAGAGGAGAAGAAATGGGAGGGAAAGGGTCAAGTGACCTCTAGGATTCAGAAGTCTCATATCCTCTGTGAAGCAGCACAGGTTATGCTACCTTTGGCAATCAGGGCAGCAAAGGTCACATGATCTCTGGGATGCGCAATTGAAGGAGAACAGACAGGGAACAGGGAAAAAAGAGGAGGTAAGAGGACAGAAGCAGAATAGAAGGAGGGGGAAGAACAAGCCATGTCTAAAAACTGTGGCAGAGGGACACAGTGCTGGGATAAGTGCTCCATGAAGACCACTGGGAATTGTATCCTTAGTAATAAAGCAGGAATTAATTAGGACAATTCCAGCAAGGAAAAAGCCTGTGCAGGCCTGGAGCTGAACATGCTAATCTTTTTAATGAGGTTTTGCAGAAGAAATAGCCTGCTTTATATAAGGGATTCATTGCTATGGTCCAGCTTTTTGTCACATTCCAGTCTCTGTGCAAGAGGACTCTGCTACTAAGACGGCTGTGGAGATTTCTGTCCTTCTGGATGTTGAGAGCTGTGGGGTGGGGGGTCTGGGCCCAGGAGACCACGTCTTCAAAACTTTGTCACCTTGGTTTTCTCTGGCTTGTAATTCTTATCTGCAAGAACAGAACAAGAATAGGCTGGGGGTAAGGGTTTAGCACTTTGACGTACTGACGAGAAGATTAAAACAAGACAGTCCTGTGAAAATTCTTTAAACACAGCCACGGGTTAAAATATAAGGAACCTCCCAGTCCCATGAACAGACTTCATGTGTTAGGTACTGGGTGTGGTTGGGTTGGAGGAACAGGAGAAAGGCTCTTTTCACCTATGTTGGCCAGAACAACAGGCACACTACTATCCCCTCCAACAACTTTCAGCCATCGCCCTGGATGAAATAGAAGGAATGTGGCAGTAGATATTTTAAAATCCTGCTATAAAGCAAACAGGAGTAGCCGGGACATGCCTGTTTCCAGACTGAGAGCAAGCCCAAATCTAAAACACTCTCCATTGTGTCATACACTTACTTTCCAGGTAAGCCAAGTCCTCTTTGCTTGTATCATATTTCCATCGTTTCTTACTACAGCAGAAGAGAGAGATACATAAGTTAGTGCTCGGATTGTACACTCTTGTGTATTGGCAGCCCTTAGACAGAGACCCCAGGGAGGCCCAGAGAGAGAGAGACTGAGGACAGGGAGAAAACGATTGGACAGAGACAGCAGGGAGGGAGAGAGAGGACAGACATACTACCTCACTCTGTGCTGGTGCACACAAACAAACAGCACTGCCAGGAGGATCACCACGAGAGGGACGAGAACTCCAATCAGGATGATTGTCTTCTCGTCTGGAGAGAGGGAGAGTAAGGGATAATTCTTATGTGCTGTACGCTACTGTACACAGAAACTGGGAGTCTGACTGGCATGTTAGTAGAGCCTCATCAGACACGGTTGAAGAGTTGCTTCAGAAACTCACCGAGCTGGTTGCTGCTGGGAGGAAGCTTCTCTCCTTCACAAAGTGGGCCTTCAAATCCCTCAAGACACTGACAGTTGAAGCCAATGCCTTCTGGCAGCTCTTGACAGATTCCGTCATTCCAGCATGGCATGCTCAGACACGGACTTTCTGCAGAGACATGCAGGAGAAATGACCCACTGCTCACAGGTGTCTCTCCTGTGTGACAGGTCTGTGTGATGATTCCCTGCAGCGACACCTGTCACACTATAGGGAGAGACCTGAGGGTGAAGAGAGTCATGACACTTGACACAGTACAGAGACATCTTTTACACTACAGCGAGATCTGAATCAGGTCGGGAGGAAGACATTTCACGCTCCGTAGCGACGTACATATATAGCAAGAGGAAAGTACACAAAGTGAAATAAAGACTAGATGATTAGACTCCACGTTCTCAGCGTCTGGACAGTCCGCACAAACAACAAAAAAGGCTAACATGCTTGGCTATGTATCACAGAGTACACAATACAAGGCAAGAGAGGTTATGCTGAAACTGCAGTGCTAATTAGACCACATCTGGAGTACTGCTACAGTTCTGGGCCCCACTTTACATATTAAGGAGTTTTTAAGGAAGGTCATTTTTAAGACATTGTTAGGATACAACAGAATTGTCAATGTATGGAACAGATTAGTGGGACTGGCCATGAAGGCAGAGATACGTGGGTGCTCTTAAACTAGGTCTTACACTTAGGTGGAATCATGTTGCATATAGCATGTAGCCTGTTTATGTTTTTAGAGAGTCAGTTCAGAGCCCCACTGCTTATACAGAGACACAGGGACAGAGACAGGTTATGCATTCCATATCATGCTTGAGGAAAAACATCTGCATGACTGCATTTTTACTGCCCTACTTTCACAGTTTTAATGCTCTGTACCACACATCTCTTAAGGGCACTTCTGAAAAACATGTATTGCAGACTAAGTTGTACTTGTGCAGTTACTCACACGCAGTATCTCACCTTTGTAGCAGTTGCGTGTATCGTTGTACACTGTACAGATGTGGCCCACTGGGCATGTCTTGGGTTCACACGCGGCTCCTGTGACTGTACACTGACAACTCTGACTACAGTCCTCCGACACAAATTTCTCATTCAGCTGAAAGACAAAGACAGACTCAGAACAGACTGAACACTACAGTACATTAACACTGCACTTAGAGGGGTTAATACAGTCACACTGGACATTACAGTCCATTAACACTGCACTGAGAGAGAAGGGTTAACACAGTCACACTGGACACTACAGTACATTAACACTGCGCTGAGAGAGAGGGATTAATACAGTTATCACTTAATGGGTGGCAGAGATGTGTGCTCTGAATCTGTAGTCTGACCATAGAGACATACAGTCATGCTCAGACAATCAGACTAACCAGATAGTAATGCCCCTGGAAGGTACAACCGCACTGAGAATAAGGCACACAGTCCAGCCCACTCAGGACGAAGCCTGGGTTGCAGTGACATCCTTCCACACACACAGAGGTGTCGCACTCTGAGGGGGCAGCCAGGTCAGCACAGGACGCCGGGCAGGCTGATATGCAGGAATTGTACACACTGTTGGGTGGGCAGCTGAGAGCTGGAAGAAGAACAAGGACGGTGTCAGTTATGCAGCAGACGGGGGCCAAGACACCACTGTAGTATTCCTTTGTATTGCAACCCACTTCGTCCATCCATTATCAGAAGGTAGTTATTCACAGCAACCCACAGCCCATCCTGGACACACAGTCTATCACAGTGCACACACTGGCACAATTTAGAGACAACAGTGCTTCTAACCAACGTGTCTGTTAAGAATGGGTGGAAACTGAAGCACTGGAGAAGTATAGGGAAAAACTCCACACAGTAGATTCCCCAGTCCGGGACCTCAGAGCTATGAGTCCAGTTAGAATGAAAACTCACCTGTTTCTAAGGATAAAGAACAGAAGAAACTGATTAGAAATTTAAAAAAAACTCCATTTGAGGGCTGAAGGGTACTTAAATTGTGGCCTGAAATGCTCTCTAGATGTCAAAACAACTTCTTGATTGGTGCTCAAAATTATTTTTGGGTAACCCTCTGCCCAAACTGCACAAAGTTGTAGGGCAAGTCCTTAAAACCAGAAGATCTCACCTCTCCGAAGTTTAGTGGAAAGGTTATCTTTGATGTCCTGTTGGTCCTGGGCACCAGGGTATGGGTGTGTGACTCCTTTGTGTGTGCAGTCTTGAAATGTACAAGGTGCCCTGTTGGGCTGGAGAGAGCACCCAACCCCTGTCTGATTGGGACTACTGAGGGCAAGATATACTGTTTCTAAGTCAGTGTCACACGCCTGAGTGTCTCACCGCAATTCAGCTTCTGTCTCCACGGCCCCAGGGTGACTCCTAGCTCCTGGCAGGCCTGTGCGTACACTGTATAGCTGGCACAGAGCAGGGTGGCATCATTCTGCTCAGCGCACAGGTCAAACACACAGCTCCTGAGGCACGGAAACACATTAACACACACCCGTGACCCTCCAGATACACAACATTAAAACACTCCTGCAACCCCCCCTCACCGCTAGAAAAAACATTAACACACAGCTCCTGAGGCACAGAAACACAGTAATTCACATCTGCGACTGACAGACCACCAGATATACACACCTGCAGCACACAGCATGCCAGACACAGCAACACATTAAGACACAGCTGTAGCACCCACATACACAACATTGATACACAAATTCTCAGGCAAGGAACAAACCGTTAATACAAGGTCTCACACACAAACAACATGAGCAGAGCTTCTCCAGGTAGCTTCTACAGAGACACACACAGTTAACACACACACACTACTAATAGTATTAATAAACAGCTGACACTCACAAATCCCATGTTAAACACACACAGCTCACACACATCCTGTGTTAAACACACAGGTAGACGCTCAGGCTGGACTAACATCGGACTGCCAGTTTGCCACACTCACTCCTGGAACTGCTCGGGGTCCAGCCTGGGGTGGCAAGGTGCAAAGGGTCCCTGGGGTTCAGCGAGAGCCCCACATTGCGAAGACCCATTCACCACGGTCAGCTGGTCCACACTGCAATCTCCTGTCTCGAACCCGGTCTCCAGGTTTTCTTCCAGGGCGCGCCTGCAATATGGGTTGGGTTGCCATAGGACTGAAGTCAGACATACTGGCACACGGTAATCTGCAAGAACCTTCACACCTCGCAACAGTCTTCCTCTTGCCACAGAATCAGCATATCATTTCAAACGCAAAACACAAAAATACTCAGATTTGACAGTTCTTTGAAATGCTTCCATCCATCCACCATCAGAAACCTGCTCATTAATGGTGAGGTTCCTGGCCTCCCTTTCCGGAAACACTACAGACCTTTAGGCTACAATGTGGGTCTACAACCTGGACAGGACGCCAGGTTTTCATGTCTGAATCAAAGTTTGGACAAAAATTCAAAAAGGTTCACTCTGATGCATATGGCGCACTGGCCAAAAGCAATTCAGGTGATAATTGTGTTGTTGGCTTCAACTGACATCCACGCCCTACAGAAAACCGGAAGCTATAGTGCCTTGCAGCCTTGCCTTGCAGATCTGGTAAGATGTCGGAGAATAATCAAGGCTTGGCTGGTCAAGACTTGGATGGCTGACATCTAAGGAAAAACTGGCCTCTGATGGAAGTCGAGGTGTTGGACCAGCAGATGGTGTTGTTTGACTTTGCCCAAATTGGTATGATGACACCAGACACTGAAGTAGGAGGGTCAGTCCTTCAGGTGACACATTAAACAGATGTCCTGACTTTCTGTGCTCTTGAAAGATTCCAGCTGGATTAAATTCCACTACAGCTTTGCTGAGGCCTGCTCTAGCCTGTCTGAGTTTCCCCCTCAGTTCACCTGCTGAAGTAATATTTTGCCAGTTTCCTATGTAGTGGTGACAGTGGTGACGTCACTCAAGCTCACTCCAGAGGAAGTGTATCCTCCCCTGTTAGTGAAGTGTTTTGGATCTTTTTGCTTGGAGTTCTATGCAGGACCTCTTATCTTTACCTGTGGAGACGCCAGGCTGCAGGGTGAGAAGGAGGGGTCTTCTGTCCTGGTAGCTCCCTGTCACTCACTTGCCAGCTGTTCCCAAACTCGTTGATATTGCGGGTCAGACTGCCATCAGGTTTCATGTACTCGTTGTTGGAACGGCCATCGTAGTTCCCACAAAGGCCTCGCACGTGAGATTGGTAGGTGCTGGGCAGGACCACCTCTGTTTCAGGGGCCAGTGCAGGGCAGAGGGGAGGAGGAGGAAAATGTTCAAAAGGTGAAGAGAAAGAGGAAGAAGAGACAGGAGTGAGAAACTTTGAGCCTGAAATCCCCAGAACTTTTACAGCAAATCTAAGTTTGAGAAAGCATCAGCGTCAATTTGGGTGCCTGTGAGTATGGTCTGTCTGTTTGGACATGTATTGCTGCCAGTGCAGGATCACAACTCATTCTTTGCCAGAAAACCACTTTTCCTGCTGAGAGTGGAAGAGACCTGGATTGTCCTGGAAGCACAGAGTGCAAGGAAGGACCACATCCTAAATGGGACACGTCTTTTAAATCTAATCAGTCTGACTCCTTTGTGACATCACGCCGGCTCAGTCACTCTGAGGGACTGTCTCCTTTGTGACATCACACAGGCTCAGTCACTCTG